TCACATAATCCACCAAAGCCTATCGCTAACCACTGTCACCTAATTGTATTGCTAACTGCCATATGCAAAGCATTGTACTAGGCCCAAAACAGAAATAGGCTCTGCAAGGTTTCTCCATAAAAATAAGATGGATACCATGAAGACAAGCAATATATAGTAAAATGCCAAAATGATGGTAGGTAAAGATAATTCCATACTATTGGAATGAAATAACATAAATTATGACTGGGCATGTTGATGCACACCTGCAATCCCAGCAGCTCAGGAGGCTGAGGCAGGAGGATTGTGAGTTCAAAGCCAGCAACTTAGAAAGGCCTTAAGCAACTTAACAAGACCTTGCCCCAAAATAAAAAACTATATTAAAAAGGCTGGGGATGTGGCTCAGTGGTTAAATGCCTCTGGGTTCAATTCCAGGTACCAAAAAAAAAAAAAAAAGAAAGAAAAGAAAAGAAATGTAGTTGCAGGGGGTAAGGGGGAAGAGGATCTATGAAAATCAAAGGGAGATCAGTTAGAGGGAAAGAGCCAGAAAGTGGGAGGGAGGGAGGAAGTGCTGGGGAGTGATATTGGATGAATTCTACTGTTATATTGTGTGTACGTACAAATATGTAACAACAAATCCCATCATTATGTTAAAACTATAGTGCACAAATTAAAAATGTGGAAAAAAATTTTTTAAAAAACAAGGGTTTAAATGAAATTTTAAAGAAGACATTAGATTTTGATGGACAATATACAATATGGATAGATTTACAGAGCATAACATCACAGGCAAAGTTTGGGAACACAGAAACACAGGGATAGACTCAAATGGGAACCTTAAGCTAAATAGACCTGTCTTGGGTGGGGAGTCAAAGAAGCCTAAAAAGTTAATAAAACAATAATAAACATACATTGAGGTCTTCCACCTATTCTAAATGCATTGGTTGGTCAAATCCTCACATGAGGTAAGTATCCCCAGTCCATAAGAAAGGAACTGAGGCACAGGAAGATTAAGTGGAGCCAGGATTCAAATATTGGCAAATCTAACTCAGAACCTGGGCTCAGAGTCCTCACACTCTTCTGGTTCAAGAGTAAGAAACCCTCAACAGATAAGCTAAAGTATTTAGGCCTCAGTATCAGATTAAAAATTGGGAGCTAGGTATCTGATAACCATCGATAATGACTGTGACCATGGTTTCTCACTACCCCAAATCCTCCCCTCCACCACTGCATTATCTTACAATTTTCCCAACACTGTTAGTTGATGGTGACAAGTGTTCATTAACTCCCTTGACGACAGCACTGGTTCAGATAAGTTGCTTAGTCCAACGTTTATTGAGAGACTCCTTTATATTAGTATTCCATCACCATGGTTTACCCTTTTAATCCTCAGGACTTAATTTCACCTGTATTCATCTACTACCTCTACTAGAAATACAGCTCATAATAATAAACAGAGTGCAATGTATTTATTTTCAAATATTCCCTGAACATATACGGCCTTTTTATAAGGAGAGCCACTCTTGTCAAATAACACATTCATTCCTTAAAAGCTCAGTTCTCCATCTTAGGTTTAGGTCTTTCAAAATCAGTGGGGCTGTTTGGTTAGAGATGTTCAGGACATGACATCTGGACCCTCCTAGGAGGTCTGGGGCACAGTCTTCCTTTGAATACCCACAGTAGCCAACAGACTTCTTCTCCCACTGTGGAAAACTGCAGACAACTGTCTCCTAATGATTTACTACTGCTCATTCCCCAGCCCACAAATCAAAGAATTGGGTTGAGTGAGAAATAAGAAAGAACAGTGGTCAGTGGCTACGAGAGGAGGAGGGGGTGCTTAAGTTTATTTTTTTAAGTCAATTAATGATGAGCTGCATGGAAGGAAAGAAAGACACAACATGGCTGTGGAAGACTATTTTTCCAGATAAATGGCCAGATATCAGATTCTGTAATAAGTACTTCCACCTATCAAAACACACACACACACACACACACATAAAGTTTGGGATAGAGAGGAAGATACAGATCTTAAAAACACAAGGTAGTATTCAGTAACCCTTATGGATATTATAAAATGCTGGGATTTTGAAGGACCCTTAGAAAACAACGAATCCAGATATTGCAAGCCCAAGGTCCATGAACTATATATTGCAATAGAGGTGTTTTGTTGAGCTTTTTTTTAGACTGAATCAGCATTTTAAAGTAGGGAAGATCCACATAAAAATACAGACTGAAGTCTCTTAGAAACTGGAAGACTCAGCAGCAAGGAGGTCCCTTTTCCAGATGGCAGCAGTGAATTAGCACTCGGTAGTGGATGCTCCTTTAGAAAAGGCTCAACCTGCCAGCTTGCCACAGCCTCCTCCACTCCCTCTTGTACCAGAATACGAAGACTGGCCATCAAAAATTAAAAACAGTGGAGAAGATGGCCTTATACCCACCTTGCTTCACTTATCGTAGCTGCAAACGCATCCCTTTGACTTTATAAGCTCTGCTCTAGACCAACCCCATCATTTAGGGAGAAGCAACTCAGCCAGGAGAGTAAATTGACTTATAAACTTCTTCCATTAAAAGTTAAATTTGGGGCTGGGGTTGTAGCTCAGTGATAGAGCACGGGCCTAGCATGTGTGAGGCATTGGGTTCGATCCTCAGCACCACATAAAAATAAATAAATTAAAAATTAATGGTCCATCAGCAATTAAAAGAAATTTTTATTAAAGTTAAATTTTCATACAGGAGGGATTCTAGCCTAATGACAACTGAAGAATATGCACAACTAAATTTAGGCCGTGTGGCTATGCCATGCCAAAATCTGTGGCAAAAAATTAAAATCTCAATCACTTTATATTGTTTCCCACCAAAAACATAAATAAGAAAAGAACAAGCAAAATTATTCTCAAGTTTTCAAAATAAATTTACCACAAAGTTTGGCATTGTATAGGCAGTTTAAATGTATCCAAATTCTAGATATGACTTACATTTATATGAAGGGCATAATTTATTGAGAAGTCATATAAAATGTTTATCATAGATGTACAAATACTTTCTAAAAATAAGACTGGATAAAAACATAGAACAAGAGGGGGGCCAAAGGTATTTCTCTTCAGAAAATTTAACTGATAAATCAGAAGTGAAGTGACTAAGATTTAATGTGTGATTGCATATGACTTAGGTACATAATGGAAAACATTATCCTTATTAACTCTCACAGCAGCCCAAGAAGGGTGGTATTATTACCCCCATGTAAAGATACCAAGTCACAAGTAAAGATACCAAGGAGGGCATTATTATTATTATTATTATTATTATTATTATTATTCTCACCTCACAAGAAGTATTCAATAATTTGAAGATGATTAGGGATCACATCAGATCCAAATACTGATGTGCACATTTGAAATGTTCATGAGAGCTGGAAACTTGCCATGCTTGCCAAGCTTGCCATGCTCAGAGCCTAGCACACAGGAAGAACTTCATTGTTATTTATTGTGTAAAACTGCCCATCACCAAAGCCCTCCAACTGCTACCTGCAAGAACTTTCATAAATGTCATCAATCTTAACATGTAAACAACCCTAACATGCAAAATTAATTACTCCTTAGGCAGGTTCTTAAACATGGTTAAGGAAGTTTTAGTCCTTCCTGTTATATAGTTATTGACTCCCAGGCAGGTGTTGACTAAGAGAATAAAATCTCTTTTCTAAACAAATTTCTCCTTGAAAATTAGTATTCAAGAATTTGGCTAAATATACAAGCCAAAAGCATGTTTGCTATTGAATAAGAATAATAACTAAAATCAAAATAAAAAGTAATTCAAGAATGAGTACTTTTGAAGAGTCAGGAATTTGATTAAAAATTCACTTGCTTTCTTTTTCTGTAATGAAACAGTTCTTTAACCACAAAACAGCTTTTATAATAATGCAGAAGAACATGGTTCCAAGTAAAACACTCCCTGTTTTAATCATGGCTATTATTTTTGAAAATGAAAATGGCTGAGGTCATTGTAATCTATTTCAGGGTTTGCATGGGTTGGTGGTATTTTTTTTTCTTGGCTTTGAGCTCTCCACGTTACCAGCTAAATGTTATGGGTTTTACTATGTGCCCTTTCAAATCCCATTCTTTTTAATAATGTACTTTACACACATAAATTAGAGTAAATTCCACTTTCTTTCCTAACAACTCCAGATGGAGTCCACACTTGCAAGAGGTCTGGAACTTGCCTTTTTAAAAAATTAAGTTTGTACTTAGAACAACTATGTTCCCATCTGCATAAAAACACTGTATGGACATTCAATGCTGAAAAATTAGTAAAATGGGAGAATGCATGTGGTTCTTTTGACCAAACTGAAATATGAGAAAAAGTATCTGTGTATCTACTCCTTCCAACTTACAGAGACAGGAAAAAAAATGTCCAGAAACAAAATCTCATATGACAAGAGCTCTAGACTTGCCTTCAGAACCTACAAAGAATGAGGTTCCATATACACATACCCATTTAAGACACATCAGCAAAGTCTCCTGAAGGACAAATTACTAAATATTTAAAGGCACTAAAGTTACATAGTCAAACCCCCTTTTGATGAGATTAATATTTCACTGACTTTCTGAACTTAGCTTTTTTTTTTTTTAATTCACTATCAAGTCACACGGAATAGTTTAAGATCCCTCTAAATAGCTCCTACACACCTCCAAGTGAGACAATGGCTTCCCAATAAATACATATTACGAAGATCTGGCTATTAAAAGGCCTTAAACTTTGTTTGTTTGTTTATTTTTTTAAAAAATCAACTTGCAAGACCAATGTAATAAGCTTTTATGAAAGAGGTAAAATAATTTTAAACACAGACACACAATGAGTTTATTTATTTAGAAACTTGTTAAATAGAGTCTGGGAATTCAAATATTCAATGTTGACATTGTACAGAACTGGCCAGAAGCCAGAACCTAGTCTCCAGAGGGACCCACTGGACAAGGAATTCAGGCCTTTCTCTCCTCCCACTTGAGCTAAATAGGTAGAAGCCATTAGTTATACCCACAGCAATATCTGAACTGCACTCAAATAAGCTGCCCCAGCCCCGGCACTTCAAAGGAGGGTAAGTGTGTTTAGCTTTTTAGTGCTGAACTAGAGCAATATGTCACACTTTTGAAAGCATTTTGTAAACAGTTTCTTCCCTGTGTAGAAACATCTCTGAAGTTTCTTGTATAGCACATAGAAAAGGTAATTAACAAGATTTTTTTTTTCATTTACTGGAGGGAGAGAGGAAAATACCAGTCTTGTGCAAAATAGAGATCTGGAAGGAGAAGGGCTCTGCTTCTCTCTTCTAGGCCCCCTTTCTTGTCTTCTGTTAGATGTGTTTGTATCCTTTTTATCCTCTTCCTCACACTTGTTCTCAATACACAGCCAATTTCCTTGAGAATTCCCTAGTAAACTCAGAAGGCCAGAAGAGTGGAAAGGGGGAAATCTAATTTTAGAAGGAGGATCGTGGCTAATGGAGTGGGGAAGTAGGGAGGGAACTAATGATTCATACTGGGCCGCCCAGGAGAAAAGGAAAGCAGACCCCACAGACTATTTTAGAAAATGCCTAGCCAGCAGCTTCCAGCGGAGGAAGGGTTAACCACACCACTCCAGAAAAATGTGCCTGGCATCCTTAGAGTATGGCTATCCCCTCCTGCCCCATCTCCTCCCCCGAAGTCCCTGTCTCCCCTACCCAGTGAGGCTGGAAAGAGGCCAGCTCTGCCAGAGGTGGTGAATGCCTACCCTCTACACAAGACTCTTCCTGAACCCAGGAAGTATGAGCGTGTGCTTGTGATGGTGTGCCTGTTTTATACTGTCAATGCACACTGGACTCTGAGGAAGCAGTTGTCCCAAGCACACAGCACCCATAAGGTTGGATTGGGAAGAAGAGTGCTAGCCAAAGCTTGAAGCCAAAACTAAGAAGCCTGAGGAGCCGGGGGCGGGGGCAGGTATGACCTGAGTGCATCACTGGAACCACCCCAGCCCCATCCCTTGCCCCACTGAGGGCCACTTTCTCAGCACCAGGAGGGTGTGAGATAAGGTGGGGAATGGTAGATAGTTCTAGGGAATTGAGCTTTGCCAAGCACTTGGTATCTTTGGAAGAGGGTAGTCAGGAACATAACACAAGCCTGTCCACCTCCTGGCCGTCTTGTAGTGGAGGCAAAGTGGAGGGAGATGCCAGAAGAGAAGGGCTGAGGTAGGCAACCAGTCTGCCCTCTCGCCCTCCTTGCCTGCCCCCAGGAAGGACAGAGTTAGGCATCCCCAACTGTGGCCTTCCTACTCCAGGTCACAAATGCAGGCTCTGACAACCTGGACCCATCTTCCAAATATAAAATACGCTCCCTAACACTCTGATGATTAAAGAGAAACTGCTTACAGTTTCTCTTTAATGAGAAACTCATTACCTTCAACTAGAATGAAAGAAAGACAAAGAGAGAAAGACCAAAATTTTCAAGGAATGATGTGATAATTTCTATTTGGTAATCTATACAAGTCGAATGTCTATCCACAGAGGAGACCAGGCCCTGGGGTGCAGGGAGAGGCTTCGGAGAAGAAAACCTGAGAACTGAGAATGAGGCTACAAGGCAAAAAAAAGAAAAAAAAAAAAAAAAAACCTCACAAACACAGCATCACAGCCAAGACCTGAAACTCCTCAGCTCCTACGAATGAAAACCTGGGGAAAGACGCCTGGCTTCCCAGTCTTCCTGGTTCTGCAACTAATGAACCGTCCCCTCCCACAGTGTTGGGACTGTGGGGAGAATGAAAAGCGTAATTAACCTTCCCCTAAACACAGATTTGGGGGTAAGGGAGTAGGGGTGCGAAACCCGTCTAAAAGCTCTAGGAAGACGGTGCTTAGAGTGCCAAATGTAGTAAAGAAGCCCTAAGCCCGGGTAATGGTCAAGTAATGGCAAATAAACTGCTTTCCTAGAAGGGGCCTCAGCCTCCATCCAGAGAACACTTCTCCTCAAAAGCAGTCTGAAACAAACAAATAAACGTGCATTTTATAATAAAGCTCTGTTTTGATCTGGGTTTCTTAAGGATGAAGGAAAGCCCAAGTAAGGTGCACACACACAGACTGAATACCTCAATGTGGGCTCCTGTTTCCTTTTTATCTTAGGTCCTGGGCTGCTACGGTGAGGAGTTTAAGGACAGGAGGGAAAGTCGGCATCTACCTTTCCTACTTCGGAATCTGTTTTTAAACAGAGATTCAAGTGTAGAAGTAACAAGTGCCCTCCTCAACACCGTCTTGCTAATCGCATCGCTGCCTTCTGCGTCTTTACGAGACTTCTGGGGGGCTGGTAGCTAAGGGGGTTACTGTATGCAACTCATTGCTGTGATTGAAATCCTGCCCGCTGTCACTTCAGGTAAGTGGGGTGGGGGTTCCTTCGTGTTTCAGACTTAGATATGCTGGGCAGACCCAAATTCACTTCCTTCCCATTCATCAGGAGAGTTGCAACTGGCGTTTCTGGCATGGCCCAGGTGCTATTCTAGCTGCCCATGAAAACGGCTGGGAAGTCTCCCAGGACTGCCAGGCTTGACTTGGCTTTTAATTTTCTTTTCTTAAAGATGGAAATAAAAGTCAGGCGCTTTAGACAGTACAGGCGGCAATCTTCTTGCTTTTCCATTCTTTATTTTTTAATTGAAATTTAAATTCTCTCACGATTTTTAACGAATTTATCAACTTCCAACTATTGTGCAAAAAATAAGACACAGGAATTGCAAATTGGGTTGTGTATTCAATCTTGGTGTAGCTTCAGGGGCTATTTTCAGGGTATGTGGTCTCTGGTCGACCTCCATGGGCTCCTCCTGTACCACGGCCAAGATCAAGCAAGAACTTAAGACCACCAAAGAAATTTACAAAAGACAAAAAGAATAACAAGCAATCAATCGAGAGAACAAGTATTTCTACGCGACCTGTTTTCACTGAAATGTTTACTTTTGCCACGGTAAAGGTAGTTTTGTTTTTTTTTTTTTTAAATATGCTGGTCACACTGCCTCTTCCTAACCCAAAAAGAGAAAGAAACCAGTACAGACAGAGAAGCTAAATTTTCGTTGGATGATTGCACTGCAGAGGTCACCAACTATCTCTGCCACACGCTACTCGTCAAAAGGAACTAGTGCTTTAAAATACAAAAATCCGTAGTTTAAATATGATTTCCTTTATTACTCAGATTGTAAATGAAAATTTGCACAAAGCAGGGCTTCTAAAGAAAGCATCTGTGGCAGCAACAGCTGGATCTCTGCAAGTGGGAACCTGAGGCTCAGCAGGAAAAGTTTGTAAGAGTTCGGTTCTAGCTGTCTGAAAACTGCAACGGCATCATTACCGACACTGGACACAAAATGAATGTGTCTCCCACCGGTTGAATGACAAGTATCCGATCAAAAACGAAGCTCAGATTCGGGGTGTTGAGTGGACTGTGCATGCGGGAATATTTTAAAACAGCAGTGTACAGCTTTCTTGACCAATTAAAACAGTTGAAAAGGTTGTATAAGAAAATCCAAAGTGTTTTGTGTTCTGCTTTCACTTCGGCGGATGCCTGGCAATGAGGCGCGGCGCAAAGCCTTAGGCTTTCATTTCACAACTTAGGCATGGTTGAAGCAGGCTCCCCGCCCCCTCCCAACAACAACAACCACACGCGCGCGCGCGCGCGCGCGAACACACACACACACACACACACACACACTCCTTCCTAACCTTTAGTCAGAATTGAAGCCTTCGAGCCTCCAAGCATATGTACATTTATTCCCCCTCAGATGAGAATAAAGACATCAGACTCGGTTAAAAGCAAACAGGAAAAACAATTCCATTGGCACGCCTTGACACTACCGAAGCTAAGTGAAATGAACAATATTTAAAGAAGACACAGATGAACTGGTGACACAAAGAGCTCTACATTTAGGTTGATCCCTGAGACCAAAACGGGGGGGGGGGGGAGAGAAATGTATTAGGGAGTGTGAGAGTGCTTGGGTGAGGACTGGACGAAGCACTGGAAAAGCGCCTGGGATGGATGACAGCATCTCGCCCACCGAACTCCCACCGCCGGCGAAACTGAGCGCCTATGTGTCACTGCCTTCCGCGCAGTGCTGCAGGGACGCGGCAGGCTGAAAGGCATGGAATACCTACCGTACTTGGTTCTAATGTGAATGGACGGGAGCGGGAGACTGGGGACTTCACTGAAGAAAAACATTCCACCCACCCCCATCTCTCATTTCTCTGGCCTACAAGCAAAATAATTAGAGTTCTGTTTCAGCAAGTGCCAAATGCGAGTGAACCGAGGGCGGCCTGTCCTCTCCCGAGGCAGCTCGAGCCCCGCGTGCCTACACTGCGGAGAAACGCTCGAGGCTGCTCCGTGGCTCGGCGCCGCCGAGTCCCCTTAGACTCGGGGTAGAAGCCTTTGAACAACACAGCCCAGTCGCATACAGTCCCGGCTGAGATTCGGGTCGTGTCAGACAGTGTCCGTTCGGCAGGCAATGCCGGGCGAGTCACCCAACAGCTTTGCAGAATGAGTGGGGGATGCGGATCTCGCCGCCCCCGCCCCAAACCCAATCGCCCTGGTCCCGCGTGACCAGGTTGCTCCACACCGGGCAGGCAGGGGGCGCCGGGGAGGATTACTGACCCGGGACCCGGGCTGCTCCCAGAAAGAGAGCAGGAGGCTCAGCCGCGCCCTCTCCGCGGCCCAACGTTCAGGCAGCCCGCCCCCTGGGGGTCACTCGGCGCCCCGCCAGCCCTGGGTTGGCGGGTCGGAGCGCGCCCTCTCGGCCTCCTTATCCTCCGCGGCTCTTGCCGCTGGCTGCGCGCCCTCCATTCACCGCTCTGCACGCGCTCGCGGGGCTTTTTCTCTCCCCACCTGCCTGTGGCTCTCGGGAGCCGATAGCTCCGCTTTGCCACTGCCCCCCACTCAGAGACTGCAGCACCCCCCTTTGTCTCCCCCACTCCCCTCCCCAGTCCTCCCGCCGCGCCGCACACGCCGGAGAGCAAGACCAAGCGCACAGCGCCCACTACCGCAGCCGCGGCTCGGCGCAGCCCGCCCGCCCGCGCAACTTCGGCGGCCGTCTCGCAACTTTTCCCAACTCCACCACTGCCGCCCGCCGCTGCCGCCACTGTGGTTCCCTCCGAGCCTGCCACCCATTCCAAGCCCCTGAAACAAACCGAGGCTCGAAATGCTCCCTTCCCATGCCCGCCTCCCCCATCCCCCGCTCCCCCCTCCTCCCACACCCGGGACTAGCTGGTTGGCCAGAGGCGACTCTCCCCCGCCTGGGGGGGAAGGGGAGGGGAGGGGGAGACTCTCTTCTCTCCGTTCCTCCCCCCCCCTCGCGCTCGCTCTCGCGCTCTCTCCTCCCTCCTACCCCCGTTTTTGCTGCCCCCACCCCACCCCCCACCCCACCCCCACCACGGGGTTGCCACTGCTAGTCGGTGTGCGGGGCTGAGGGCTGCCCGGGCTTCTCTGGCGCCCAAACCGGGAGCGAGAGCGGGCTACTGGGCGCGAAGACTGGAACCGGCAGGTTGCTGGGGCTGCATTACGCCTGCCCTCCACCCGGGGCCCGGGCGCAAGAGGCAGCTCGCGCTCCCTCCCGGAGTGCTGGAGACAGATATGCAAGATGGCAGAGGAGGGGGGGAAAGCCAATAGAAAAGGGATATTGCACCTACTTGTGGCCAGTTTCCTTGCCCTGCCTTTGGATCTCATGCTGTGCCCAGTCCTGCAGCCGCTGGTGTGTGGTTGGGTTTTTTTTTTTCTTGGATCTTTTCCTTCTTTTGCTCTCCCTCTCGCTCCCTCCCTCTCTCCTCTCCTCTCCTCTCCTCTTCTCTCTCTCTCTCTCTCTCTCTCTCTCTCTCTCACACACACACACACACACACTCACACACACACTTCCACACACTCACTCTGTCTTTCCCTCTTTCACTCTCTCTCCCTCCCTCTCTCCCTTTCTCTCAATCCACACTCGCTATCTCTCTAGCATTGTCAGTTTGGGCACCTTCGCACATGCGCGCTAGACGCCCCTCCAACATCTCAGCGCCGCCAAAAAAAGTTTGGAGCGATTTATCACTTTGATTTGGAGATCTTGTCAGATGGCAATCGCTGAGGAGGCGGAGAAAGGAGCCACGGGGAGGGCGGCTGGGGGCGGGGAGCGAGCGCAGGGAGCTAGAGGGGAGCAGACACCTCGCCCAAAAAAAAAAAAAGGAATGAAAAGGCTTGAAAGGCTTGGACCGAGGACTGATTCCGTGGGGGCAGGGGATTGATTCTGTGTTGGAAATCACCAAAAAGCCTATGTTAACTATTAGTACTGTTTTTCCCATAATAAGTTGCAGAAAATTTTATATACTGTCCATGGAAAAAGTAAGCAGTAGAGGGGGAAAAAAACTTCTAAATAAATATTTTCTCTACTAAAGAACTATAAGAAGGACTGGACCATCGGCGAACGATCCAAGAGGAAGTAAGAATCATCCTGAACTTGAGAAATCTGCTGCGGCTGCTACTGCTACCGAAGCTATTGCGGCTTCCGCTTTCAGAGTTGGAAGCAGAATAAATAACTGTTTCTTTTTCAATTTTAGGTGTAATTCTAATGCTTGCTGCTATCCTACGAAGATTTCAGTAGTCTATTGCCATCAAGTAATAATGATCATCCTTGATTCCCAGGTCCAGGCTGGCGCGGCATTTGACATCCAAGACCTCCTGCCTTCCCTAAGGTGGGCTGTCACCTTCCGGCCTCCCCTCGCTGCCCCCGTCGCCTCCCTCTGCAGCTCAGCCTGCCTACCATTTTCACTCACTCACTCAAACCTACAACCTCTGGGGTCACAAGAAGGAGGAAGAGAGGGGAAATTCCATACACTCCTTAAAAAATACATTGTTGAAATTCGCATTAATTATAGGATTTACCACTGAAGTGGGCATGCAAAAATGGGGAACTCCTAAAGGGGCTAGGTATGTTCAAGGTATGAATCAATCCTAACTCCATAGATTTTCTCTTGGTACAACCTCCTTGCATTAAACAGTTTTGTTCAATACCTTCCATGTGCTATTTATGTCCCCATTAATATCTGTTGCAAATCCTGCCAGACACAATAAAAGAAAATTACAATCTTTTCAGTCTCTGTGCTGCAACAATACATCCTTGATGCTCAACTTAAAGGAGAGGGAAAAGAAAAGCAGGTCCTAAGGCATGGGTCTGGAAAGACAGGAAGAAAAGTGGGATTGTTGAGAATGCTCAGTTGCACCTGTTGGTATTTATTGTCAAAACTAGGACTGAGGGTGTGAGAGACAAATAGCTATGTTCAACTCCAAGGGGATTCAATGTCCAAGAGAATCAAAGTTGAAAGGATTCTCCCTGACTAAAAGATGCCCACCATTTTTCTTTCTCCAGAGCTGTGTAATTCCAGAGGCATTTGGCAATAAGATACAAGTCCCTGTAGAAACAAGCTACAGGTCCCAAGAGAGACACAGATGTGTAACCTTGAAATGTGAGGAAGGGAAGGGGTTTACGGTAAAAGAGGGAATTTTCACAGAGCATGAGTGGAACAACTTCCAAAAGAGAAGGCTCTGGTGCCCACACACATGCGTACCAGGAAACACTGTCATCTCCATCAAAGAGACACCAGGGTGGGTTTTTTTGTTTGTTTGTTTGTTTGCTTGCTTGCTTGTTTATTTTTGTTTTTCCATATCTACAGTTTCATTGCCTTTTACAAGCACCAGGCAACTCCAATATTCTCTGAGTGTGGGTGCCTCCAACCCCAGGTCTACAGTTCTAACTATCACCACCCCAGATGTGAATCTGCCAGTCCCTCCCAGTTTCCATGGAAAAGTCTTTCTTCTGACCAGTACATGTCCTCAAAAGAAAAAGAGAAATGAAGCTTGAAAGTCTGAAAAGGAGAAAAAATCTTTAGAGGAACACACTAGGCTAGCGAATGACAAGTTCTGACAGTTGCTTCTAGTCAGTTGTGAGAGGGTCTAGGGAGCATCGCCTAGGCCAGAGCACAAGAGGAACTATCAAGATCCTCTAGAACCTAAAGGATCTTGGGCTCACCAGGAAAGAGGCCAAAGATTGCCTTGGCACCCAGGAAGTGCAGAGTGCTCTGGACCAGAGAAAGTTCTGCCTGGGACATTTCATCTCACCTTCTCACCCTACAAAGTTTTCAAAAAAGGAGTTGACCTCTTCCCTTCACATCTCCCGTTAATTCCATCCACCTCATCCCCAGGGATCTGTCTATATCTGGGTTCTCTTGGGAGGCAAAGAGGAGAACCCGGGAAATTTTCTAGGAAAGGAAGGGACCATTGTTACCAATCCTGCGATTAGATACAAGACCCACACGTGAAGCTGGACTTGTTTCTGCTGAGAAATTAGAAACCACGTGGCGGGCTAGGGGGTGGGGTGGTTTATGTGAAGGGAACAGGTTGGGAGGTGGAAAACAAGAAAAGCAAATCAGTCTCTGAACCCCCAAATGCAAGGGTCCCAGTCTTTTAAAACTTTTCTAGAATAGCGTGGGGGCGGGGCAGTAAGACGCGGTTTGAGCACCCTCCCTTCTGGTTTTAAACTCCTTGGGATAGCAATCGATTCAGTTCAGGGGCCTTTCTCCCTAATCTTCCCAAGAGTTTCGGGACACAAGCGTTTCCGACCTCATTTAACTGAAATAATAAACACAAAGTCTTGTGCGTCCCCAGGCCAAGGCGTTGTGAAAAGACAAGACATTATTCTTTTTAAAAAAATAATAAAAATATTCACAATGCCATCGCTTCTTTTTATTTTCGAACCTGAAAGCTGGATTTCTTATCCTTCTCCTATCCCCTCTCTTTCTTTCTTTCTCTTTCTTTCTCCGTCACTTGTTTTGTACCCTAAATGTGCGTTAATAAAAGAGCTAAGTTGCTAGTTCAAGTGTGTTTAACCTGGTGAAGCAAACGCTCAGCAGCAGCCGGCAGCGCACACTGCCTGCTGCGCCGCAGCCCAGGCGCGCCTGTCCCAACGGGTTCCCATTCCCAAGTGCCTGGACCCCGTCAGTTCCACCTGTCCCAAGTCCCATCCGTGAGACCAGAGCAGGTGACTTTCTGTTTTGGCCCCTGGAATTCCGGACAACCTGTGACCGGACGTCTAAGCTGTCCCTGGCCCAACAGGAAAAAAAAAAAAAAAGGCCTCCAACAAGTTGGCCAAGCTACCTTCGCTGCCCACTCCCCACCTGCCAACTTTTCCTTCTCCTTCTGGAATTCGTTTCATTGGGAGACAGTGGCGTGGGTCCTAACGTTTTCTCCCAAGGAAGCGGGCATCCTGGAAGCAGTGCCTCCTTGGAAAGTTGATGAGTTTATGTCTGTTTGGGTTTGCTTTTTTTTTTTTTTTTGTTTCAGTTTTTGGGTTTTTTTTTTTTTTTAAACAAATGCAGGAAAAACGAGAGAGGAGTTAGGACTGAAGATGGGTCATCGAAGAGGAAGACACAGCCGAGTATACCCGACTTATCCTACTGCTTAATTAATGCTAGAAATGGCAAAGAACGAATTTTTCAATACATTACACGCAATAGAAAAATTTTCTTTCCTCGCATCATAATTGAGCCAGCCTCATAGTATCTTTGGAAGAAAGTTTAAATTCTTTATGGAGGTATTTCTTGGCCTATTGTCTTTGTGCAGTGAACTTTACATTGTGCTATTGAATCGCAACCTATATTCTTCTAGCTACCAGCAAGATTAATTTAATCATTGTAATGCAATTATTAATACTGTTTACCCAACGCTGGGTTTCAGGTTGGCTGTTAAGAAATTAAACTCTCGCTGGGTGACCAGAGCTAGGCAGGGGTTTCTTCATGTTGAAATGAAACAGTCCTCTTTATTTAGTCTCAGAGCTCCAGCTTTCGGCCACGGGCTCAATTAGCCAAAATGGAAACAATTTTCATTCATTGCAATAACTCACTGTTCTGGAGATCGCTTTCAAAATATACACTTTATTATTATACGCTGACCTTGGTGGCGTGGAGTGGCAATAAAAGAAAGAGGCAGGGAGATCTATCTAGCCCCCTTGGGCTATAATTATTAGAAATTAATTGGGTTCAGGACCCTGGGTACCCTAGCTAAATTAATAGCTTGTCTAGTGGTTTAAATCCGAATTTTCAGTCCACAGGAGAGAAAGGGAGAGAGTCACAGACATGAAATGCAGACCCAAGGGACGCCTGAGTTTACTTGCAAGACACTCATCTATTAAATAGTGTCCAGAATACATTTGAATTGAGGAGAGGGGGCCAGAGTGGGAGGGAGCGGGGGCGACAAGAAAGAAAGAAGCAAGATGGGGAGGGAAGCTGCGAGTGAGCAAAAAGGTCTCGAGTTGATTTTATTCGATTTTTCTTGTCTGCATTGTTTTCGGGAGGGGTTGCATTTAGGGGTTAAAATAAAAAATAAAGATCCCGTGTACTCGGAGCTGTCGTGCTGGAGTAAAAGTGAAAAGGGAGCCTTAGGCAAAAGGAAATTACTGCGAGCCCGCGTGACCTTTCAGGGAGGTAATCAATCAAGTGATCAACAGGGATATTTATCATCGCTATATAGGACTACTTCGCCCCGCACGAGCAGGGTGGGGGTGGGGGTGAGGTTGGGGGGAGCAAAAGGAGGGTGGAGACACGCGCACACTCACTCATACACTCACAAAAGTTTGAACAAACCCGATGAACCTCGAGACAGAACACGTAAGGCTTTAACAAATGTTATGATTATCGGTTTTGTTTGACATCCTACCGAGAAATGCACACACCCAGACACGTACGAGGGGGCAAAAGCGCACATCCCGGCATTAGAGGCTGAATGAGGGTGTTAACTTTAAACTGTCCGCCGCTCTGCTTCGAAAGGGAAGCTAGCGGCGAAATAACGCGCTTCAAATGCCTGCGGGGCCAGAGCGCCGGGCTAGCTCGGCTTCCGCGCGCAGCTGGGGAAGGGGCGCAGCAGGCACTGGCAGTGGGAGGCGCTCCTCTGTGCTGCGCGCGCGGACCCCTGGGCTCTCGGGTCTCCTCTTCCAGCGAAATCCGCGTGCTGCCCTAGCTGCGCGGCCCGAGCGCGCCTCGCTCCGGGCCAGCCAGTTCCAGGGAGCACAAGAGGCGGCGGTTCAGCGGCCGCGCGTTTTCTGCCCAGTTACCTTCTCTACCTTGTAAAACTCTCCGTTTTGTAAATTGCGTTTTCGGTCCCAGGTTTCTCAGCAAATCATTCGGTTTAACAATCCTGTTTCCTCCCCCTAGTCCTCCAACACACACACACACACACACACACACACACACACACACGTCTTCAGAAGTGTATATAAGGAATGGGGGTGGTAGGTCGGGGTTGCTGGTTTTTAACGACGACAATGATGATGATGATATTAAATAGTCGATTTATAATCTAAATCCCCGAGGCCCTCGCCCAACTCAGGGATTATAATCAGCAGTTCTTTTGAGAGAAGGTCGGCTGATTACTGGCCCACGAGGCTGGAGAACTATTTCCCGACGGGTTTATGAAACGTAGGTTGGGGTGGTGGGAGCCGCCTCCCAGGTAGCGAGTCTCGGCTCCCGCGGTGTGGGAATGTGGGGCCGCGCCAGGGCTGCGCCAAGGCCGCGCCGGTTGGCACCAGATGAGGAGCTCGCTTTCCCCCGCCCGCCGCCCTCTCCCGGCTCCACGCAGCCTCCTCCCGCACAGCCTAGTCTGCGGCGCCCCCGCCTGGCTTCCCTGGTCGCCGCAACTCTGGTGCTCCTGCAGCGTAGGGCTCCAGCTGTGCACAGTAGCTGCCTGGACGTGGGGGTGGGAAACAGCTGGAGCGCCCCGGGGAAGCGCAGGTTAGGGTGGAAAGAAACCCAGCAAGGAGGATTATGAGGCGAGCAACTCCCGGAACTGCTACCGGTTTAGGATACAGGGTACAAATCTCTGCCCTCTGGGAACTAGAGCTCCACGAAGAAACCAGACTGCTTGTGTGCGATGCCTGGGGGTCCTCTTTGGATCCCCTCACAGAACAAAGAATCACCTAGAAAAAAAAATGTTTCTAAAGTTTAAGGTACACATGAGTCACCTGGGGAGCTTGTTAAAATGCTGATTCTGATTCCCTAAGTCTGCAGCGAGGCCCAAGCCCTCTCCGTATTTTTTAACACTCTCCCAGGTT